TGCAAATTTAGAATATTACTGATATACCTCTTGACCTTTGTACACGTGTAACACATAACTTATTGTCATTGATATTTATTAATATAATTGTTAAAAAATATGATTTTATTCTTAAAAAATTATAATTTTCAAACTATCCTTTATTTTGAGGTCATTATACTCTAAAGTTTACAATCAAACTTACCATTTGAATATCTAATATAATGCAGATATTTATATAATGTTCTTTATATCTAATACAATACATTATGTAAACAGAATTATTTAGATGTTTAATTAAGGAGGGAATATTTTTAGTTATATTTGAATTCTAAAGGAATGTAACTGTAATATTTTAAATATGAAGGGTTTAGGTGATTAGGTGATAAGTACGAGGAGATTTATGTGTAATTTATCTATTTAGTTTTAAATGACAAACTGACGATTATTAGCTTGAAGTGCGCATTAATATAAATTTTTATTTTTGAGGGTATAAATTAAATTTTTTGATATTTTAAAAGTATAAATTAGAATTTGAACCATTTTTTGTAATTTGAAAATAACCCTATAAATAAATAGCATTATGGCCGATGATTGTTTGACGGGTAATCGGCCGGCGTCCAAAGCCCAACTGGCTAAGTTACCCGAATTCTTGACGTGTGGAAGATTGCCACCATGAAGAATAATGATATTTAACTGAATTTTCCTTTTCTTATCCTTTGTCATGTTATATAACATAAGCCTCTTCACCTTAATTAAATTAGTCAAAATTGACCAAAATCGAGTGTAATAGAGGGCGAGCCTCAAAACCCAACCAAATTAAGAGAGAAAAAAATAATATATTAATATTTATTTATTTTATATTTTATGTTTGAGAATTAAAATTTTATTAATTAAAAAATAATCACTGTATAGTGTGTACACGCAAAAAATTCAACAAGATTAATTATAAAATAATCTCAATATGTAAAAATTTTAACAGAATGTGTAGAAAATATATTGAAAAATTGATAGTCATTGGTGTAGGTCTAATAAGTGATACAAATAAGGTGAGCATAATAAAAAAATCCTTAAGAAAATTATAAAATATATAAATAATGGTAAGAGAAAAAAAATTGAGTAAGCACCACCGGTGAGTCCAATAGGAATCCTATAAAATATATATTGTAAACAACGGTGGTGGTCACAACAACGACAACAATACTAGTTGAGTTTGTGATGCTATTTGGCAAGTGGTGACTATGGTGGTCAGTAGTGGTGGAGACGACATTCTTGGTTGTGATGCTTCTGATAATGATAACTATAATGACAATAGTGGTGGTGCTAACGGTGATAATAATGGACAAGGGTTAGTGATAATACTACGATAGTGATGGCAAAAATGGGCCCAATAGTNTTTTCATGGAAAGTGACCGACGTTTCGGTTTGGATGTAAATACATAAATAATATTTGGGAGAAAGATACGGACGTTAACATAGTGGAACGGAACAAGGCGGTCCCAGTTACCGTTATTCGTACGCTCGTCCGAGCTGTAATTTTGTATTTTTTTGGGGGGTTTTTATAAATAAAGGATAATCACAAATTGTATCCTGTAGGATTGTTTGAATCTTAATCTGTATTCTTAAAGATAAAAAATCTTAATTTATACACTCAAAAATAAAAATTTATATTAATGCCCACCTAAAACTAACAGTTGTCAATTTGCCTTCTAAAACTAATTAGATAAATTATATTTAGATCTTTTCATACTTGTCATTTTATCATTTGGACCTCTGCAAATTTAGAATATTACTGATATACCTCTTGACCTTTGTACACGTGTAACACATAACTTATTGTCATTGATATTTATTAATATAATTGTTAAAAAATATGATTTTATTCTTAAAAAATTATAATTTTCAAACTATCCTTTATTTTGAGGTCAGTATACTCTAAAGTTTACAATCAAACTTACCATTTGAATATCTAATATAATGCAGATATTTATATAATGTTCTTTATATCTAATACAATACATTATGTAAACAGAATTATTTAGATGTTTAATTAAGGAGGGAATATTTTTAGTTATATTTGAATTCTAAAGGAATGTAACTGTAATATTTTAAATATGAAGGGTTTAGGTGATTAGGTGATAAGTACGAGGAGATTTATGTGTAATTTATCTATTTAGTTTTAAATGACAAACTGACGATTATTAGCTTGAAGTGCGCATTAATATAAATTTTTATTTTTGAGGGTATAAATTAAATTTTTTGATATTTTAAAAGTGTAAATTAGAATTTGAACCATTTTTTGTAATTTGAAAATAACCCTATAAATAAATAGCATTATGGCCGATGATTGTTTGACGGGTAATCGGCCGGCGTCCAAAGCCCAACTGGCTAAGTTACCCGAATTCTTGACGTGTGGAAGATTGCCACCATGAAGAATAATGATATTTAACTGAATTTTCCTTTTCTTTTCCTTTGTCATGTTATATAACATAAGCCTCTTCACCTTAATTAAATTAGTCAAAATTGACCAAAATCGAGTGTAATAGAGGGCGAGCCTCAATACCCAACCAAATTAAGAGAGAAAAAAATAATATATTAATATTTATTTATTTTATATTTTATGTTTGAGAATTAAAAATTTATTAATTAAAAAATAATCACTGTATAGTGTGTACACGCAAAAAATTCAACAAGATTAATTATAAAATAATCTCAATATGTAAAAATTTTAACAGAATGTGTAGAAAATATATTGAAAAATTGATAGTCATTGGTGTAGGTCTAATAAGTGATACAAATAAGGTGAGCATAATAAAAAAATCCTTAAGAAAATTATAAAATATATAAATAATGGTAAGAGAAAAAAAATTGAGTAAGCACCACCGGTGAGTCCAATAGGAATCCTATAAAATATATATTGTAAACAACGGTGGTGGTCACAACAACGACAACAATACTAGTTGAGTTTGTGATGCTATTTGGCAAGTGGTGACTATGGTAGTCAGTAGTGGTGGAGACGACATTCTTGGTTGTGATGCTTCTGATAATGATAACTATAATGACAATAGTGGTGGTGCTAACGGTGATAATAATGGACAAGGGTTAGTGATAATACTACGATAGTGATGGCAAAAATGGGCCCAATAGTGGTGGTGGTGGTGGTGTTTCTAAAGAAAGTGGTGATGACAATGGTAATAAAAGCAGAAATGATAGAGGGGGTGACAATAGTTATTTAACAAGGGAACGTCAAGGTCTTTGTCCCACTTTTATAAATTAATAATATACCTAATAAATCACCAAAGTTCAAAAGGATGCATCTTTAGATAAGATCCCCTGGAAGATNATACCCAACCAAATTAAGAGAGAAAAAAATAATATATTAATATTTATTTATTTTATATTTTATGTTTGAGAATTAAAAATTTATTAATTAAAAAATAATCACTGTATAGTGTGTACACGCAAAAAATTCAACAAGATTAATTATAAAATAATCTCAATATGTAAAAATTTTAACAGAATGTGTAGAAAATATATTGAAAAATTGATAGTCATTGGTGTAGGTCTAATAAGTGATACAAATAAGGTGAGCATAATAAAAAAATCCTTAAGAAAATTATAAAATATATAAATAATGGTAAGAGAAAAAAAATTGAGTAAGCACCACCGGTGAGTCCAATAGGAATCCTATAAAATATATATTGTAAACAACGGTGGTGGTCACAACAACGACAACAATACTAGTTGAGTTTGTGATGCTATTTGGCAAGTGGTGACTATGGTGGTCAGTAGTGGTGGAGACGACATTCTTGGTTGTGATGCTTCTGATAATGATAACTATAATGACAATAGTGGTGGTGCTAACGGTGATAATAATGGACAAGGGTTAGTGATAATACTACGATAGTGATGGCAAAAATGGGCCCAATAGTAGTGGTGGTGGTGGTGGTGTTTCTAAAGAAAGTGGTGATGACAATGGTAATAAAAGCAGAAATGATAGAGGGGGTGACAATAGTTATTTAACAAGGGAACGTCAAGGTCTTTGTCCCACTTTTATAAATTAATAATATAAATAATAAATCACCAAAGTTCAAAAGGATGCATCTTTAGATAAGATCCCCTGGAAGATTTCAACTACTACAATAATGCATCACGAATTGTCTTTTGTGTTTATATTTTAACCACCTGATTTTAGTAATACGATTATTTATGGACAATAATTTCCCGTTGAATTAGTATACATGATAAGATCAGAGAGGAAGACAATCATGAAATCAATTAGTCTACCCTGATCCACTTTAAAAATAAGAGATTTGAAAGGAGCCCCACTCCAATAAACGCATGACAAGCTCAAATCACATCCAGTCACTCATGGATATCAATAGTTAATCCCAAGACGACGAAATCTCAATGTTGAGGTCAAGACGAGTTCAGAAAAAAAAAAATGTTGAGGTAAGTAATGTAAGCACCACTCCACTGCATATTCAATAATGATATTGAGAAATAATTTGACGACTTAATGCATTGTCAGAGATTGAAAGATCCTTAAACAGTAAAGAGAATGTTTGGTATGTTCGNATAATGATATTGAGAAATAATTTGACGACTTAATGCATTGGCATTGTCAGAGATTGAAAGATCCTTAAACAGTAAAGAGAATGTTTGGTATGTTCGGGTGTTTAATTCTTGTTTCCCCATCATCCACTTTTAGAAGGGTTTTTCTATTCTTCAAGAGAGGACGTTCTTTGGTAATTGTCCAACCATTTCATATATTAAAACTAACCAAAAAGAAAAATGAAGCAAGCTACGGTATGCATGAAAGAGACCGTTCAATAAGGCTATCGATCACAGATTGCTACAGCTCGTCAGGATATCTGTGTAGAACACAAACTCCAATTGGTAACTCTATTGAATGACATCTTCCACTGTGTGTGAATGCACTTGTAAAAGAATTGTGGCAACAGGTAATTCTTTTTGTTTCAAGCCATTAAGAGGGGGTGTCCCCTTATTCGTCACTAGATGCCAGCTTTGTTGGACTACAGCTGCGCAAAAAGAATTTCGTTCCATGTATCTGGAACACCAGGTAAGCACCAATGCAGACAATCATGTGCTCCTGGCGTGGCTTTAAGGCTGTATCGAGATTTATGACCCTCGTCTCTCAGCAGAGACAGAGCTGTGATATCCAAGAGCTTAACCTGTTTTCCCTTCACTGCCCCTGCAGCAAGATGATCACTAGGTTCGTCCTGTAAAACTTCCTTCCCACCAGAGAGCGGGGTGGTATTATCACAGGTACCTCCAGTGTTCCAATCTCCATTAAAGAAATGTCTCGGTGAAATAGATCGGTAGAATGCTTTCAAGCCCGGATATTTTGGTAGCTGAGAGTTTACCCACTCGATGATACTGTGAACTGTGAAGTTTTTGGCGCCTGCGATATCTGCAATTTTCCTATTGGTATTAGGCACACCACCAACATACATGACCCAACGGTTAGCCTTGAGCTTCCCTCTATTCCAATGGTGTCCAGTATTGAGAACAAGGACATCAAATTTGTGAAGGAAATGATGCAAAAAAGCTGGTGGCCGATCAAGATGCATGGCAACATCTGTGGTTGGGTTAGTCATATCAAGGGGCTCCAAGCCACAGAGGCTCGCAGACCAATAATACAGTATGGTAGTATTGGTGCTCGTGAACCGATAAGCCCATCCATCAGGGCGTGCAGCACCACGAGCTTTGACAAGACCGTACTCCTTTCCAACATCCAGAACATCAGCCCTCTCTTCACCACTTGTGATCATGCACATTAGTGACTGGAACTGCTGTCGTCCCAATGAATCCCCGATAAAAGCTAGAGTTTTATTCTGCATCCTGAAATGCATCGTCACAACTAAGCAATTCATATGATCCCAGGCACAAACAAACTTAACGAACACAAATGAGCGAGTGGAAGGGAGAATACACATCATATCATGTGACACAATGAGCAAACTAGCCGCTAAATGTACACTACGTAGTATGTGGCCAATAGATGAGATGGAAATTCCAGAGCAGGGTGGCAACATTAACAACAACATTAAGGGCAGAACTAGCTCACAGTTAGAGCAAGCTCAATGTCCCCACAGCTGCCCACCTTTCTGGGCTAGTTAAGGGCAGCTACCTTGGTTTGGTCAGGTCATCCTGTCCAATAAATTAATTGAACCCAAACCATGTTTAAGATAAAGGTAAATATCATAATTAGTCCTTAAACTCTGTCTCCAATTTTAAAATGGTCCTTCACCTTTCAGTTGTCTCCATTTGGTCTGTCAACTATCAATTTCATCTCAATTACGTCATGATGTGGATGACCACATGACAAACATGTGGTTGGCCTCCGTTTGTTCTAACGGCTAAAATTGATGGAAGGACTTAATTGATACAATTGAAAATTCAAGGACCATTTTAAAACAGAAGACAGTTTGAGGGCTAATTGTAATTTTTACCCTGAAGATAATGAAAGTCAAATGTAGCCCAACATTAAAAGTAGTAAGTTTGAGCCCAGCATAGAAAGCATTAGTGGGACAAAAAACAACATCTAATTCTTAGGCATAGGATAGGCTGGTCCAACTGCATTGCAAACTCCGATACCAATCCTAAGACAAAATATGACATTACCTTCTCAGGAACTTAGAGCCCGTAAAATCTTCCATTTCACAATCTTTTGGTTGCCACCGTAATTTCTCATACTCAAAATCCTTGCGCTGTGTCAGGCGGCAAGCCCACATTGATGACAGCCATTGCTTGCATCCAAATCCAGAATACAAAGGCCAACTATCATTTGTGACCCATTTTCCTCTAGCATAGTTACAGGCTGAAATAAGAATATAGCAGTCACAGAGCAGTTACATAATATGTGCTGCACGTATGGTCAAGTAATTACATGGTTTAAGAAGTAATAGATTAGTATGGAACAACATGTAGGAGTACAACTATGTTTGTAAATAAACAAAATTAAGGACCACGCCTAAGAAATGGAAGTAGCCCAAATTTGCACCAAAAAGACAAATCAGTACGTCTTCTGGTATTTGCTCCAAGAACTAATCAAAAGTAAATTGCTCAAGTACTCGGAGAATTGAAAATCTGAGTAATTTAAGGGTGAACCATTGGAAAAAGAATTTGAATTCAAGCATGTTTCTACCTTGATTTTCCACACGAGTCGCCAAAATGTTCTCGTATTCTCCTTTAACAGAACTCATTTGTGCTATTAGATTCTTTTCTCCATGCTTTGAACTATTCTTTTCTTCTGAAACTTGTTTGATATCTGAGACTTCTGTAACATTAGGGGGGATTTCTACACCACCACAGGACAAAAAAATAAAAGTCGCAAATATGAGATGATTTTACAGATTGAAACACCAATTATAAGTTTCCAGTACAAATCATATCAAAAATACCCTAGACTGTGTAACTCAGTTCATGGAAATGAAACTGGAAAGTAATGATTGAAGCAGAATATCATGTTATGGCAAAGACAGGCCAAGCTGATCTGATGACCTCAAAAGCTTGATATATAAGGAACATAAGGACAATAGATAATCTCTAGATTCAACTGAAGAACCTATCAAATGGAATATTCAGCATGCAAATAATCACTGGGCACCCTATCTCTTCAATATGCTTATATGCAACAAAATCTACTTCCAGATGTCTATGTTTTTTTCGGAAAGGTCAGCTATCTATATTTCTCCTTCAAATCATATGAAATACATAGTGACAAGTTCTATTATGATTCTATAATCACAAAAGGCCATCTTAAAATTACTATGAGCACAATATCCTAGGGGTAGAACTAATTCAATGAAGGAAACAATGGCCACAGCATTTTAGATGGATGATATGTGGTGTAGAAATTCATAATGTCTATAATACAGGTATCACCTAAAAAGAAGTAGCTTTGGTCATGCACAAGTAAAATCCTACCCTGCTCTTTGTCCAGAATATTTGTTGAGCTTCTTTTCTCTTCATTTCTCACAGAAGAATTTGTGTTTAAGGAATTCATTGGCACTTCCAAATCCACACCTTTTTCTGATTGATCTGGGCTATTTTCTCCTTCTAAAACTTGTTTGTCTTTTATTTTTCCATCTGCCATCATGACAAATTACAGATGAGTAACACTTCACGATACAATCCCAACATGAAAAAGGGAAAGATATATCGAATTGCAACCACTAATTCAATACAGTAAAACTAGGAACTAGAAGTNAAAAATTACAGATGAGTAACACTTCACGATACAATCCCAACATGAAAAAGGGGAAGATATATCGAATTGCAACCACTAATTCAATACAGTAAAACTAGGAACTAGAAGTAATGATGTGAAAATGAAAATGTTGCTCTAACAAAATGCAGCCATGCCAATTTGATGGGGTCCAGCAGGCTAATAGTCCAAGTGAAAGGGTACAACACTATGTTCATCAAGTTTCCCATATCCTCAAAGGTTACAGCAGAAGCAACATGCTACCGTGGTCTTCAACAGGAGTTGCTATTACAATTTGTTGTAATCATGCTCTTTTAGGAGAGCATTTCTTGAGGTCCCATTGGAGCTGATTTCCAAAAGCATTGATATTCCTCCTGCTCACTTACCGCACTTTTTTTTTTCCCGTTGATTGTGCCCCCTTCCAATTTCAATCGCTCCCGAGTGCATCCTATTCCAATAATGTATGAGCTATCCCACTCAATTTCAGTGAGATTTAATGGCTGGTTCCTTAATTATTTGGTATGAAAATAAAAGGATACACAGAATATTATGATGCACTCTTTACAACTTTCATTTACTCACTTAAACCTGTTGCAATGGATCAATCTATACATAGCCAATCTTAAATATTGACTGACAAAAAGAAATCATGTTAAATAGAAAAAAAATTAATGGGGGCCAACCTGGAGACAACCACAAGACATGACTCTGAGGCGGAAGTATGAACGTAAGAAATAGGGGGATTTCAAAACGCCACACAACCACAGTTGCACAGGCAAGAGCAATCAGGATGAGATAGACATGTTTATTCCTCAGTCCATGCAAGCCTCCTTTCATCCTTAATGCACAGACTAGATACCCAAAATCATCCAGATGTCATCAGAGATTGTGTCTTCTTTAGAGAAATATCGGGGAAAGTTCTAAGGCACAATAAGATAGCAGAAAAAAGTTTCTGGGTTTTAAATTTCAGAAGTTCAGTTAGTTCTTGATGCAAACCCATATGTNCTGCAGACCATTGAGGGGAAAGTTCTAAGGCACAATAAGATAGCAGAAAAAAGTTTCTGGGTTTTAAATTTCAGAAGTTCAGTTAGTTCTTGATGCAAACCCATATGTCTTTCATATATCAGTTCATACATGCACACACATAAATTAAAAGTAAGCATTTCAGAGGTAACAAAATTATTTTCTCCAATGTATGATGTTTTGAATGCTTCGCGTGCACAATTGAGGTAGCGGATGTAAGATGTCACCGTTATTTGTTTTTAAAGGAAACATGTAACATAGCTGAGATGGGAAGNTTATTTTCTCCAATGTACGATGTTTTGAATGCTTCGCGTGCACAATTGAGGTAGCGGATGTAAGATGTCACCGTTATTTGTTTTTAAAGGAAACATGTAACATAGCTGAGATGGGAAGGCATGAGCTCAACCCATCATATGAATGGGCCAGCCATATACCAATTTCCATTGCTATTCTAATGCAGTCATTAATTTTTNTGATTTTCTCCAATGTATGATGTTTTGAATGCTTCGCGTGCACAATTGAGGTAGCGGATGTAAGATGTCACCGTTATTTGTTTTTAAAGGAAACATGTAGCATAGCTGAGATGGGAAGGCATGAGCTCAACCCATCATATAAATGGGCCAGCCATATACCAATTTCCATTGCTATTCTAATGCAGTCATTAATTTTTCCAGCTTTCCTTACCTACTTTTTTGAAAGCAGTAGAGTGGAAATTGCGGATGCATTCATTAAAACTCTGATGAGGAGCTAGTGTTTGAAGCATTCGCAAGATACAGTTGATTAGGTCAACATTAAGATTCCCCTTCGAGTTCCAAACCAAACAACACCTTTCTTATATCAACTGCATAATCACCANGTGGATGCATTCATTAACACTGTGATGAGGAGCTAGTGTTTGAAGCATTCGCAAGATACAGTTGATTAGGTCAACATTAAGATTCCCCTTCGAGTTCCAAACCAAACAACACCTTTCTTATATCAACTGCATAATCACCATCTCAACTAAATTCTCTTAACCAATCAAATAGAATGCAAATAGAACACCACGAACTCAAAAAAAGTTATATCCAATTTCATGGCGACACTATTAAAGCTTGATAATTTGATACCTCCAAGCTTCTGAAAGTCCACAATTAGAATTTGCCTATCAACAACATAAACTCTCCGAATCAGAGTCCTAAGAGAATGATTGATTATATTTTCATACAACACAATTTGCAACTGAAACTGAACTCAAACCATGAAAAACGCAAATTTGCAAGCCATTCAGAGAAGATATGCGTAAAACTCCATATTTTTTCTTATGAGAATGTTAAATTCATTGAATAGCTAGTAAATTTTAATTAGGATGAACCAATTCATGGATCACGAGCCAAATCAATATCAGAATTATCGTTCTTTTACAGCAAAGTGGCTTTTATAAGATCAGGCATAAGCAAATTATATACAAAATAGAGAAAAAAAAAAAAAAAAAGCACCTCATCTTGATTCTTGAGAGCCATCAATTCAATCAAATAGTATATATTTATATACGTACAGAAACAGAGAGAAATATACTCGTATACGAACTCATTCTTGTATATTTATATATCAGCCAGACTGTGGATGCATCCAGGGAGAGACGTACCTAGAGATTGTGGCACAGAAACTATAAAGAAATGATTGAATTGCTTGCATACAAATATGGCCGAGAGTAAACTAAGAAGAGAGAGAGAGAAAGAGTGGGCAAACTGGAAAGTCAAAAAGAAGGTAGGTTTGGTCTTACGGTGTCCGACTGTAATTATAAAAGGAGTTGAAAGGGGCGGAAGGAAAAATCACACGGGAGAAAAAAATGAATTGATTTCATTTCATCAGTCCATCGTCAAAAATAGGGTGTGTTTCCCAAATTTAGCACAATATTTAATAATTATTCATTAAATCTGTTTGATAATTAAAATTAAAATCTCTTAATATACTAATACTCTTTAAAAATAGACTAAATTATTAAGTAAATTTTTTTTTTATTTAATTCTGAAAACTAAAAACATTCAAAAAAAGTGTTTTTTTTTATAATTTTTGTAATATAATAATTTTATTTTAAAATATTTCACAATTTCAAAAATCTCAATTTCCTTAGCCTCGTCATCTCTCAAAAAGAGGTTACACAGGTATGGTCTCTACTCCTTCGTTTTCTTTTTCTTCCTTTTTATTTTTTCTTAATCAAGTATCTTATGCTACTCAACATCGATTGACATGGAATCACTCACACATATCACATGAATAGGGTTTTTTTTTTCGTCAAATTTGTTCAATTATTTTATGTGTTTGTTGAATTTACTATTGTTCAATTCTTTTTTAGTTTAATTATTTCTTTGTATCGAACTGTTTATTTATTCAAGTTACTTATTTTATTGAGAGTATCAATGAACAACTGAGGTTTTCCTTAAACTCAGCCCCCTAAAATTTTAATTCTAAAATCTAATAAGTTTTGAACTTATTTTTCAAACTCAATTTTTTTAAAAAAATATCATTTGAAATAACGTTTTTAGATGTTAAAATGTCATTTGAAATGACGATTTAAAGTTAAATTTTTTTTTTTGAAACGTCATTCTTAATGACATTTTTTAAATCTTCATTTATAATGACGTTTTTAAATGACTGTCGACAGACTTTAAAAAAAATAAAAAGGGTCAAAACGTCATTTACAATGACGTTTTTAAAACCATTTTCTACCCCCTTTATTAACAATGTCATTTTCTATCCTTTTATCTGCAATGAAGTTTTAAAAACGCCTTTTTAGCCTTTTATAATGACTTTTTCTTAGCAAAAAGTCTCCAACCTACTCGTAATAAATTTCATAAAACCTAATTACTCCACCTAATTTCTTACATCATGATTCACCGGTCAAAAAAAAAATTTAAATAAATTTTAGAATTTAATTCTGTTTTTATAATAATTTTGAACTTATTTTATAATCGAAAATAAAATTCATAAAAGCATAATTTAAAAAGAGAATGATTCAAGTTCTCTAACTAAATTTCCTAGCCAATTCCAGTACATATTAAACCCAACTATTAAAATTTCAAAAGCATTTTAGCTTTAAACAAGCCACATGAATTTGATTCATTTCACGTGCTAGTTAAGTAGTTATTCTTCAATAGCAATGCTTCCTCACAACATCACAAACAGAGGAGACTTGAACTTTATATACCTCAAAAAAATAAAAAAGAAGCAACAATACCATTCATTTCTTGTACATTTTGAAGCCGCGATAAATAGAATTCAATATTTCATTATATATCTTTATATAAGTGTACCCCAAGCCAAATAACGACAAGCACTTATAACAGCCTCCATGCCAAAAGACTATACATCATCATATAGGTTATATGTACAAAACCCTTTTCCATTCATCTTCCTCTTTCAAACTCTTCACAAAACATATTGTAGTCAAACCACTCTCTAACCCTTTTCTACTTTCATCCTCCTATTTTTCTTCACTGTATTGTATGTTAGGTGTGTTGCCTGTATGGCATGTTGTTCAAGAATTGTTTTCTGTAAATATATCCAACAGAGAAAGAGTCTGCAAAATCCAAAATCAGACCAATATTTTAGCAGACTGTGCATTATAAAGTGTTATAAAGTGCTTTAAGCAAAAAGCTTGTTAAGGAAATGTTGAGTAATTACNTTAAGATTCCCCTTCGAGTTCCAAACCAAACAACACCTTTCTTATATCAACTGCATAATCACCATCTCAACTAAATTCTCTTAACCAATCAAATAGAATGCAAATAGAACACCACGAACTCAAAAAAAGTTATATCCAATTTCATGGCGACACTATTAAAGCTTGATAATTTGATACCTCCAAGCTTCTGAAAGTCCACAATTAGAATTTGCCTATCAACAACATAAACTCTCCGAATCAGAGTCCTAAGAGAATGATTGATTATATTTTCATACAACACAATTTGCAACTGAAACTGAACTCAAACCATGAAAAACGCAAATTTGCAAGCCATTCAGAGAAGATATGCGTAAAACTCCATATTTTTTCTTATGAGAATGTTAAATTCATTGAATAGCTAGTAAATTTTAATTAGGATGAACCAATTCATGGATCACGAGCCAAATCAATATCAGAATTATCGTTCTTTTACAGCAAAGTGGCTTTTATAAGATCAGGCATAAGCAAATTATATACAAAATAGAGAAAAAAAAAAAAAAAAAGCACCTCATCTTGATTCTTGAGAGCCATCAATTCAATCAAATAGTATATATTTATATACGTACAGAAACAGAGAGAAATATACTCGTATACGAACTCATTCTTGTATATTTATATATCAGCCAGACTGTGGATGCATCCAGGGAGAGACGTACCTAGAGATTGTGGCACAGAAACTATAAAGAAATGATTGAATTGCTTGCATACAAATATGGCCGAGAGTAAACTAAGAAGAGAGAGAGAGAAAGAGTGGGCAAACTGGAAAGTCAAAAAGAAGGTAGGTTTGGTCTTACGGTGTCCGACTGTAATTATAAAAGGAGTTGAAAGGGGCGGAAGGAAAAATCACACGGGAGAAAAAAATGAATTGATTTCATTTCATCAGTCCATCGTCAAAAATAGGGTGTGTTTCCCAAATTTAGCACAATATTTAATAATTATTCATTAAATCTGTTTGATAATTAAAATTAAAATCTCTTAATATACTAATACTCTTTAAAAATAGACTAAATTATTAAGTAAATTTTTTTTTTATTTAATTCTGAAAACTAAAAACATTCAAAAAAAGTGTTTTTTTTTATAATTTTTGTAATATAATAATTTTATTTTA